TGCAGTTCAATATTCTGCTGCTTTTCCAAGCCTTTTTACTTTATTTTCTTCACTCATCACACATTCAAGCCCCCCAGTGTTCATGTATCATTTCAATCTAAATCTTCACGTTTCTTCTTACACATTACATTTCGGCATAGCAGTTTTAGCGTCAGCTTTTCAGCATAAGCATTCCCACTAGCAAGTTCTTCAGGAATTGCAATCTCTAGTGGTTAATGGTCCTGCCCTCAACAGCTCTACGTCAATTATGGGGTGTCATCATATGCCGTTTCCATGGAAACGCATCCCTCGCCACAAAAGACGATGTCGCCATGAAACGCGGTTTTCTCATAACTTCAGTGAAAATGCTCCAAACGGCCCAAAACTTCACAGGTTTGGTAATGATGCAGCCATCAACAGCATCTAAGCGTATTATGGGGGTGTCATCAAATGCCGTTTCCATGGCGACAGACCACTCGCCATGAAACACGATGTCGCTGTAAGTCCAATGGACACGGCCCAATCGTCCCCCAATCTTCACTTGTATATCACCGGTCCATGCCTCAACAGCCCTACGCCAAATCTGAGATCTCACCATATGCCGTTTCCATGGAAACGCATCCCTCGCCATAAAAGTTCTGCAGGAGAGCACCAGAACGCCGCTCCAGGCCGGGACTTCACAAATAGAGAACCGCAGTGACGCGTCCTAAAACCCGGAAGTAAGTTAGCATATTACCACGTCCGGTTCCTTCGACAAAAAGCAATGCAATTTCTCCATAGGATTTTGGAAAATAGCTGGAATAAGGTCTGTGTTTGACACAAATTGAAGAGACAGATCACGTTTTTGTTCTACGACATTAAATACATCAGCAGTGACCCCGCTGGTGATTTTTGAAGAGTTTACGTGTCTGAAAAACGATGGTTGTTAACATGTGGCTGAATAGGACTACAGAAGTTGTCCAGGCCGTTTTACGTCATTACACCGAACACGTTAAAACACTCCTCTAAGTTTGTTTTGCCCTGTTCTGCCTTGAAAGCAAGTACCTGCCTCCTGCAAACTGTTCAAACAAACGCTTCAACTTGTACCATTTAGAATCTGTATGTTTGAATATGGATCCTTGAAGTTGGCGTGACGTTGAAGCGCGACCCTGCTGTAGTTCCTTTCTAGCATAAAGTTAGCATTTTGCTTTCTGGCGACTAGATTTATGATTCGAAAATTATAAAAGTAGGGTTAGACATGTGGAGATCTATCCGGCTGAACCTTACACATGCGCAGTTTTTGCGTGGGCTGGCTGTCTTTAGTTGAAAGCCCTAGTGGCGATCTGTTCATCTGTCATTACTGATCATACAGTCAATAACTTTGTTTTATTAGCATCTGGTTAGCTAGCTATGCTAACGAATATAAGAAGCTTTTTCTCCAAACCAGTGAGGTAAAGGCACATCTTTATATGATCATTATAGTTATAAAAAAATAAGAGAATAAAGTAAACAGGTATAAAATAACTAGTGATTTGTAAAATATCCATACAGAAAATCTGCCTTCCAGTTCTGTTTCATATGGTGTTGAGAGATGTATCCATAGATCTCCTAATGTTGCTCTTAAAGTGCACCAGAATTGATGCTTTTAACTTCAACATTTAAAAAAAAAAATCTTCACGGGGGAGCATGCCCCCCGGAACCCCCCCATAGAGGAGGTGAGGACCCCCCTAGAGGATGTTAGGACCCCCCTAGAGGAGGTGAAGGTCCCCCCTAGAGGATGTTAGGTCCCGTCCCCCCCACTTAAATCATGTTTCACATGGATAGGAAACTAAATACATTTGCACACATCTTGTGTCCATATCCTTTTGTTTTGTGGGTCATGCCACAACCGTGCACGTGCATGCATGCACGAGTCATGTAAAGATATCTGGATTAAGAGGTTGCTTTTTCTTTTGCACAGCATGAAAGAAAGGCGAAATGGACATGGGCTGTGATTTTAGTATTTTTAAGCAGAGGTCAATCATTTGTACGGCCCTCGGAGGATGTTGTAAAAATTGAAATGGCCCTTGAGAGGAAAAAGGTTCCCTACCCCTGGTTTATGGGCTCAGAACAGTCTCATAATAATAAAGGATTCACACTTGTATTTCATGATCCGCAAAATGATTCACACTTGTATTTCCGGATCCACACTTGTGTTTTTTCAATGCACACACAATGTGTTCCGTTTCATATACATGTAAATAAAATCCAAATACAGAAAAAGTTTTACATATGTATTTTTGATCCTCACATAATTTGTTTTCCGTTTAAATCCCCTGAACCTGCAAACACAAACCGCTTTCTGTGCATGGATCGCTGTGCATTCGTGTGTGGGTTTTTTGAGACTCCCCTGACGGTCACCCGATTCGTACTTGTAATTTTTTCTATCTATAGCCAATCAGATGTCTCCTAAATTCTAAGCCAATCACATGAGCGCGCCCCCACGAGGGTAGATTTCTTGCGTTCATGTCACTTCATATACGCATTTTGCGTAGTCCGGAGCAGGGTTTCCGCGGACAGAATTTAATTTTACCGGACAAATTTGAAACTTACCGGTCATGTTTCAATAATAATAATAATAAGAATTGTGTAGCAGCGTTTCCGTTAGGTAATTACCGGACTATGACCAGATAATAACACGGGAGTAAGGATCATCTCTTTTCCTCTCTCCCTCCCTCTCTCCTGACAGCCCGTCAGTTTCTCATGCAGCTCGCTAAAACTTCACTCGCGTTTATGTCCATATCGATCAGATCCAGCTCTCCTGATCGGCCTTTATAGAGAGCACCGATCAAACTATTAAGAGTGAATATCGGCCGGTAATGACCGGCGGGGCTCCCCCCGTTGACAGTTCACTGTCTAGCACTGGCTTCGTAGTGCACTGATCGATTAGGCCTAAGCTAACCTGTAGCTTGCTCCCTCCACACTCACAACAACTTCATACAGACATAAATAAAGCAGCGGTATTCGCCATACAGGAAACACACATTTAAAACAGTTTTGCCTGCCGTTTTTGTGTACACAAGCATTCATTAATGGTTCGGAAAGTGGCACTGTACCTTAATAATATAAAGGCTTGTATTTGCGTGCATTTCCTGCTCGGAAAGTGGCCAATGTACTGAGAGTGGAGGTGTCCTGAGATTAGCGCCTGCAGGCCAGGCTCCATGGACCTGTCAGCTCCGGACAGCGCAAACAAAATGCGTACATGAAGCGCTACGTCATGAACGCAAGAAATCTACCCTCGTGGGGGTGCGCTCATGTGATTGGCTTAGAATTGAGGAGACATCTGATTGGCTATAGATAGAAAAAATTACAAGTACGAATCGGGTCACCGTCAGGGGAGTCTCAAAAAACCCACACACAAATGCACAGCGATCCATGCACAGAAAGCGGTTTGTGTTTGCAGGTGCAGCGGTTTTAAACGGAAAACAAATATGTGAGGATCAAAAATACATATGTAAAACTTTTTTCTGTATTTGGATTTTATTTACATGTATATGAAACGGAACACATTTGTGTGTGCATTGAAAAACACAAGTGTGGATCCGGAAATACAAGTGTGAATCATTTTGCGGATCATGAAATACAAGTGTGAATCCTTCTGTGTGCATGTGTGTATTATGAGACTGTTCTGAGCCCATACTGGTTTAAAGAGTTCATATCAAGGTTTTTAATCTCTAACACGTAGAGTTCATATCCAGGTTTTTAATCTCTAACACGTTAAGAGCTCATATCCAGGTTTATAATCTCTAACACGTAAAGAGTTCATATCCAGGTTTATAATCTCTAACACGTTAAGAGTTCATATCCAGGTTTATAATCTCTAACACGTTAAGAGTTCATATCCAGGTTTATAATCTCTAACACGTAAAGAGTTCATATCCAGGTTTATAATCTCTAACACGTAAAGAGTTAATATCCAGGTTTATAATCTCTAACACGTTGAGAATTCATATCCAGGTTTATAATCTCTAACACGTAAAGAGTTCATATCCAGGTTTATAATCTCTAACACGTTAAGAGCTCATATCCAGGTTTATAATCTCTAACACGTGAAGAGCTCATATCCAGGTTTATAATCTCTAACACGTAAAGAGTTCATATCCAGGTTTATAATCTCTAACCCGTTAAGAGTTCATATCCAGGTTTATAATCTCTAACACGTTAAGAGCTCATATCCACGTTTTTAATCTCTAACACGTTAAGAGTTCATATCCAGGTTTATAATCTCTAACACGTAAAGAGTTCATATCCAGGTTTATAATCTCTAACACGTAAAGAGTTCATATCCAGGTTTATAATCTCTAACACGTTGAGAGTTCATATCCAGGTTTATAATCTCTAACACGTTAAGAGCTCATATCCAGGTTTATAATCTCTAACACGTGAAGAGTTCATATCCAGGTTTATAATCTCTAACACGTTAAGAGTTCATATCCAGGTTTATAATCTCTGACACGTAAAGAGTTCATATCCAGGTTTTTAATCTCTAACACGTTAAGAGTTCATATCCAGGTTTATAATCTCTAACACGTTAAGAGTTCATATCCAGGTTTTTAATCTCTAACCCGTTAAGAGTTCATATCCAGGTTTATAATCTCTAACACGTTAAGAGCTCATATCCACGTTTATAATCTCTAACACGTTAAGAATTCATATCCAGGTTTTTAATCCAAATTGCAGATTTAAGAAACTCTTAATCTTTCCCACGACCTTAGAAACCAGACAGAAGAAACAACATCACAAACAATGTCCACAAAGAAATGTTCAAATATTTAAAACATAAAGAAACATAATTAAACTCTCAATGAGACATGTTTTAAACATCCTACACACACACACACACACACACACACACACACACACACACACACACACACACACACACACACACACACACACACACACACACCACCACACACACACACACACACACACACACCACACACACACACACACACACACACACACAACACACACACACACCACACACACACACCCACACACACACACACACACACACACACACACAACACACACACAACCACCACACACACACACACACACACATCGCTGAGGCCTTGTGAACAATGCACAGTCAACAAAACTGAGGAGAGTCCTGGGAAATGTAGTCCATCGAGGAAGTGTTTAGAAAAGGAATCCCCTATGAATGCTGGGAAATGTAGTCTTTTATAAAGACAGTTTAACACATTGAAGACACTTTTTTCTTTTAAATACAGACATTCTGTCATCTGCCGTTAACCTGCAGTAGAACAGCATTCTGGGAAATGGAGTCCGATGAATCATGGGTTGTTGAAATTAATATAATACATAAGGACAACTTTTTACTTTGAATTTAAAATATTTTATACTTTAAAATGTATAATAAAATGTCTGTTTGATGTCAATGTGCACCGAGGGGACTCCAAAGGCATGCTGGGAGATGTAGTCCTTGCCTTTGGTGGTTTTTTTGTAGATAATACTTTGCTGAAGAGTCACAGGAAGTGATAATCCTTAGAGGAGAGACGTGTGAGCGCCCCCTGCTGGTGGCTGCCATCAGAGCGCTGCTCAAAGGAACTTCAGCAGAGAGGGGTGTCCACACGCTCCTGAGGAACAACACAGGGTTACAGTCAGAGAGTGTGTGTGTGTGTGTGTGCGCGTGCGTGTGCGTGCGTGTGCGTGCGTGTGTGTTTACCGGCTATAACAGGCTGTTCCTGCCGTTCGTGTTTGGGCCTTTAGACCTCATCTGTTCCTGCACCGTCCCCGACTGAACACACACACACACACACACACACACACACACACACACACACATATAACACACACACACAGACACACACAAACAGTACAATTCATATGTTAAAATAAACGTCAGTCAGCAGAAAAAGTGTTAATACTTTTTATATTTTTGGATTTTGGATATCATTTTATGACCTGCAGCTGAACTCAATGAGAAGAAGCCAAATAGAAACAGGAAGTGACAGTTACTTCGTGTTACTTAGTGTGTGTGTATGTGTATGTGTATGTGTGTGTGTCTCACCGGCTGCAGAGCATCTCCCATCTCTCCCGACCCGATGTGTGTGAGGTGGATGAAGTTGGTCGGCTCTCCGATCATCGTGCGATCGATCCTCCTCCTCGTCTTCTTCTACACAAACACAAACACACACACACACACACACAGGTTAATGAATGTGTGTGTCATGTCTCTGCTCGTCCTCACACTGACTTCATCTTCATAAAATGTCACATGACGTAAAGTTGTTCGTACTAAATTATAATAATAATAATAATAATAATAATAATAATAATAATAATAATAATAATAACAATAACATTGGTAAAATATGCTGCTTTTATTCTGAAGGTTCTTGTCTCTGTGCGGTGCGTTCAGGGACCTTGGCACCCTGCTCCTGAACGCCTCCCTAAAGCTGGTTAATCCTGTCAGAACCGGGTCTCTGCAGAACCGCAGTAAGAGGATTACTGTGTTGTGTAACGCACTGATGTCACAACCCGACCTCTGACCTCTGAGAGGCTCCGTTTTAATCTGCTTTTGGGTCGTTTTGCATCTTGTTGGTGTTTTTTAATCTGTTTTCAGACGCTCTGAACGTCTCTGGAGTGGATCTGAATCAGTTTGTGCAAGGAAGTGATAGTTGTGCGTCTCTTTGTTGACAGATAGATTCTGTTTTGTTTTTTTGTTGCTATTTTTATGTTTGCCTTCGGCATTATTTTGTCCTCTTCTAGTTTTTATTTTGCGTCTGTTGTAGATAATTGGAGTCTTGTTGATCGTTGTGTGTCTACTGTATATTATGTAGTTATAGTGTTTCTGTATTTGGAAGAAAGTGTTAGTTTTGCGTCTCTTTGTTGACGTTTTGCTTTTTCCATTTTCGTGTTTGCATCGTTTTGTCATCTTTAGTTTATTTTGTGTTTTTTTATAGACATTTTACTTCTGTTTTCTGTTGTTTTGCTATCTTTGTGTGTATATGTGTTTTCATCCATACATCTGTGCACGGATTAAAGATAAAACCAAGTCGGGACTATTGTTGTTTTAAAAATAGGTTTTAACATCTGCTGGGTTTTTACCTCCCAGCTGGCATCAGTTTGTGTGTGTGTGTGTGTGTGTGTGTATTGTGTATTGTGTATTGTGACAGATATAAATACTGACAGGAAGCCGGACAAGACTTCCTGCAGCGGCGGCCATCTTTGTTTCTCCACCACCACGGTTTCAGATGATGAGTGAAATCATTTTTACATTACATGTCATTTGTTAGACGCTTTTATCCAAAGCGACTTACATACATTCAGTACTGTGGACAATCCCCACAGGAGCAATTTGGGGTGAAGTGTCAGGGACACAACGACATGCTGACTGCAGTGGGACTCAATCTTGCTACCCCCTGATTCGAAGTCCAGCACACTTTCCACTGAGCCACAGCCTCCCATAACATCTCCATCACACACACTGTGTGAAACCAGTTGCATGCTGGGAGTCACCAATGGGATCATAGATCAACACAGATGTTATAATCTTGATTTTTCTTTCACCTTTTCTTGCCGATATCTCTAGCAGCGTTTCAGATAAAGATATAAAAACATGATGAATCAAAGCTTTCTGCAGAATCTGAAACATAATGATATTTGAGGCTCAGTGGGAGCGCTGGTTCAATCCCCTGCAGTCAGCATGTCGTTGTGTCCCTGAAGACACTTCCCCCCATACTGCCCACAGGACTGAATGTAGTGGCTTTGATTAACAGCGTCTAACATGTGATGATATGCAACGTGCAGCTGACCATCATTTATGAGTTTAAAAGATGCTGATTGTTATTTAACTTTGAATCTTTACTTTAATCTTTACATATTTTTACATCAGCTTGTAGTTGGGTTGTATCTCACCTGCACAGGTCTCTCTTTCTCTGAATGACTTTGTTTTTAAATGTCCAAAATATCTTTAAGAAATCATCCAATTTAGAGATTTTGACCACCAATTATAAAAAACGGTTTTCAAACAAACAAACAAACAAATAAACTAATATGTAAACATTAGGTGGTCTGCAGGAAGTCCTGCCACCTGCTTCCTGTTTCCTGTTCCCTGACTTCCTGCTGCGGAGAGTTAACTGTTTATAAAGACACACAGTTTGTTACAGGGAAGTCATAAAGACTCACGGTACGACCAAAGAGTGTAATAACCCTAAAACAGAATAACTCAAAACTACTAAACATAGACACACAAAGACCAATAAGAGACAAACAACGTCTACAGAAAGGGACAGAAAGTGATGTAAAGACACAACTCCTCAACAAAGAGACAACAATATATTTTAGAAACCATTGCACAACTACAGGGAGACACAAACACAGAAGCAACATGTCTACAAAGAAACACCAAGCAACCGTAAACAGACACTAAACAACCAGAATAAACCAAGAGAAAACGCTGCAGAAGACGCAGTCATTTTATATTTGGTTGTATGTTGGAGAGACCCAGACATTAGGAAACCATCTTATATTTAAACATCACATTTGAGACAGGAATTAGAGAGTGGCCATCACTTTAATTTATCTTTACTTTAGTGCTCTTATTCTGGTACAGCTGTGATGTAAACATGTTCATTTCTCTTTGTTATTTAAGCAGAAAGTCTTTGTTTGTCCATGTCCTGATTGACAATCGCAAAAACATGGTCCTCACAATGATATGAAAACAATAACGTGTGTATAAATGTACCTCCTACAGATGTCTGGACGTTACCTGTGCAGATATTTAAATAGATAATGGAGAGTTATTTGGTCTCACCGGGGGGGGTTTAGCCACCACGCAGCAGCCCATCTTGTGCCAGAAGTCGCTCATGTTGACGGAGCGAGTGTCCAGCGTCCGGCCGCTCTCTGCTGCCTCCTTGCAGGCCGGGGCGGGAACTGCAGCCCGGGGGTAATCCTGTGGCATTCAGACTCACAACAGCAACACAAAAAACCCTGGAAATATAAACCCCTCCTCAGACTGGAAACTGGAACAACTCCAGGAGTCACTGGATCCTCGGGAATACAAAAATTTAAAAATGTGTCCAAAAAAAAAAATGGCCGTATCCAAACTGTGTTATAATCCACTGATGAAGAAATCCAGAATGAGTGTTTAATATCCAAACTGCTCCAGGTCTGATCTGTGGGGACAGAGAAGAACAACACATCTTTCATTTTGTATTATTTATTGATATATTTTTCAATGGACCGACAAAGACCCTTTAAAACGCCCCAAAGACAATTCCTCCACCCAGGCCATGATGTTGAATAACAATGAGACAAATGTAAAAACGGAATATTAAAGGTCCCATGACATGGCCATTTCTACTGATCATAATTCCATTGTTGAGGTCTACTAGAATAGATTTACATTGTTCAATGTTCCAAACTCACATTGGTTTCTCATACAGCATCTCTGTATAGTATGTGTATTCACTCTCTGTCCTACACGGCTTGTTGGAGCTCCTGCCCCCCCCCTCCCTGTGAGCCCAGTGGCCGTCTGCGAGACAGCGAAACCCAGCCCGAAACCAGCCCGAGCACACACACACACCCGCAGCCTGGCTGTGAGTCTGTGTGTGCTCACACACCGACTCACAGCCTCGCCGCGTCCCCGCCGTCTCAGGCGGAGAAATCGGTGGAGCTGCAGCTGAGAAAAGATTGAGTGTGTGTGTGTGAGGAAGTCCATTACGTTACGTTACGTCACTATACCCAATACGTCACTGTACCCAGGAAGAAAAAGAGAAATGTCCAACGAGGCGTTCTGGGGCAGCATAGACAGGTCTTTTCTGTGTTAGAGTTTTACTCGCTACAGGGTGTACTTTGAGGGTTTTTGACTCTGCAGACCGTTTACATGCAGAAAAAGCTGCATAACATTCCGGGTAATAACCGGAAAAGCATGACATGGGACCTTTAAGACCTCATGAAGTTTAATTTGTACCGCACTTTTATTCTGCTTCAAGTCTCTATCGCTTGTCTCTGTTTCTTTAATTAGGATTGCATATAAGTCTATTAGCACCCCCTAGAGGCCTGGAGGACTTGTGTTTCTGTGTGTGTGTGTGTGTGTGTGTGTGTGTGTTGGGGTGTGTTTCTGACATTGTGTTTGGTTTGGCTTCTCCTATATACTTTTTAAACAGGCGTTGTTCCTGAATCACGTTTCTGATGCTGGGAACGTTTTGTCCGTTGCGGCGTGTTAGCACATGTCGGACACTTAGTACTTATTCAGGTAGTAATGTGTTGTTTAAATCTACTCTCGATTAAAGCAGTTTTATTTTAGAAGGTTAATGTGTAATGTGAATAAGTATTTTACTTAAACTAAATCCTCAGATTCCCCCCACCCCAAAATAAATGTTCTTTCAAACTCAAACGTGGTCCTCAAAGCTGTAGGAAAACGAGAACACTCTCCCATGAGCTGCATGGGAACCAAACCTCTGGCAACACAGTGAAGACATGACATATGACGAAACACTGGGGTGTGGTCCAAACAGGCGCGCACACACACACACACACACACACACACACACACACACACCACACACACACACACACACACACACCACACACACACACACACACACACACACACACACACACACACACACACACACACACACACACACACACACACACACACACACACACACACACACACACACACCACAACACACACACCAACACACACACACAACGCCCTGGAGATTGTAAAATTAAGAGTTGCTTGACAATTTGTTCTTGTTTTTTTTTCAGACGACGTTTCAGAAGTGTTGAAGTGAACTTGCTGAAAAGACACACACACACACACACACACACAAACACACGCACGCACGCCCTTTGACCTCAGGTGGGAGGTGACCAATAACTGATAACTGCAATATAAAACTCAGAAACACACACTCTGTTTCTTGTCTCGTGTTTTACTGTTTCTCAGTTAAAGACCTTTAAGCAGACACACTGCAGGTTAACAGGGTAACGCTGTAACTACCAGATATCACCAGGAAACTCCCCCCCCCCCAACCTTCTTTATATTACAAGTTTTCTGACAGGTTATGTTTAAATATGTCAATGAAGCTAATGCTAATAGGATTAATATACTGACACAGTTAGTGAAATAAACTCCTGGATGGATTATATGTCCCTCTGATCTGAACTGCAAGTGTCTGAAGTGCCTCAGAATCCATGGATGTAATATCTGGAGATAATAACTCTGGCTTGTGTTTCCCTCAGCTGATAGCAGCGTTTCCTGAAGTGGTTACACTGTTTCTATTCCCAGATATCTCTGCAGAGTCCGGCACTCTGAGCAGCAGATAACGGAGGAATGTGAAACGTGTAGCTTCACATCAGCACTCAGGAATGTTTCAGCCGCAGGATAAAAATCACACAAACAACATTTAGAAACGTTTTATAAAACTGAGGTATCAAATCCTGCTGATGTTCAGGTGTATATCAGTATGTAGTGTCTCTACTTAAAGAGTCCTCTCCTGCTGATGTTCAGGTGTATATCAGTATGTAGTGTCTCTACTTTAAAGAGTCCTCTCCTGCTGATGTTCAGGTGTATATCAGTATGTAGTGTCTCTACTTTAAAGAGTCCTCTCCTGCTGATGTTCAGGTGTATATCAGTATGTAGTGTCTCTACTTTAAAGAGTCCTCTCCTGCTGATGTTCAGGTGTATGTCAGTATGTAGTGTCTCTACTTTAAAGAGTCCTCTCCTGCTGATGTTCAGGTGTATATCAGTATGTAGTGTCTCTACTTTAAAGAGTCCTCTCCTGCTGATGTTCAGGTGTATATCAGTATGTAGTGTCTCTACTTTAAAGAGTCCTCTCCTGCTGATGTTCAGGTGTATATCAGTATGTAGTGTCTCTACTTTAAAGAGTCATCTCCTGCTGGTGTTCAGGTGTATATCAGTATGTAGTGTCTCTACTTTAAAGAGTCCTCTCCTGCTGATGTTCAGGTGTATATCAGTATGTAGTGTCTCTACTTTAAAGAGTCCTCTCCTGCTGATGTTCAGGTGTATATCAGTATGTAGTGTCTCTGCTTTAAAGAGTCCTCTCCTCTCTCTCAGTTTGAGGTGTGAAGCTCTGAAAGATGTGGTTGTTATTCGACCGTTGGCTGAATGAAAGAGATCTTTGTGTCTCCAGATGAACTCTCTGTTCAGCAGCTCTCACACCGCTCGGGGGAAAACCTCTCTCTAACAGTGAAGGTTCCTGCAGTCTGAATGTTTACGGCTGTATTCATCCTGAACTGGGACATCAGCTGTTAAATCAGCTGTTAGGAGACATTGCACAGGAAGAAAGAGAAATCAATAACTCATACTACATATCAGAGCAGTAACACAGATAGGCTCACATTATCCAGTTCTTGACACCAACACTAAATGATTAATTGTGAGTTTAATTTGACTTATTTGGAGTTTTGAATAGAGACGAACTCTATGCAACTGGGACATTTCTTATAATGTTCAGACATTATACATGTAATCTGCAGATGAATGGATAAGGAAATAACTGTTAGTTTTAGCCAGGATAATCAGCATTAAAATGTGTTATTATATAAGTGTTTCTGTGGAGCATTAAGCGGCTAAACTTACCATTCATTCCAAACCTTTGTTGTAAAATGACAAATCAATAATTATAATAGTTAAACATGAATTAATAAAGCACTTAATAAGACATAACGTTCATTTTCAAAATTCAAACTGACAGCAGGGCAGTGTGTGTGCGTTTCCTTCCCTCCACAGTTTTCCTGTTCTTTCTCCTCACACTGACATCATGGGACAAATATTCACACACACACACACACACACACACACACACACACACACACACACACACACACACACAACACACACACACACAACACACACACCACACACACACCACACACAACACACACACCACACACACACACACACACACACACACACAACACACACACACACACACACACACACACACACACACACACACACACACACACACACACACACACACACACACACACACACCACACAACACACCACACACACACACACACACACACACACATCATGAGGTTTGAATAGAGGCAGGAAGTCTAAGTGCAGTACAGACTCAGTATGAGTACATGTACTCAGGTACTGCAGTTTACATTAAGGGTATTTATATTTAACTATAGGACGAAGTGCCCCTTTGTGTTGAGAAAAAATCCTCCTCAAGCGAAATAAAGTATTTTACCCGAATAATAAAAGTAAAATATGTTTTATAAACTCTAAAAGATATGCTAACTAGCCGGCAGCTAACACTGTCTCTGCTTCACACACCTGGACACACACTCTGACCTGAGAGGAAACACACTGTGAGGTTAGACTGCTTTACCTGAAGTCTAATGTTCTTCTGATGTTGAAGAAGAAACGTCTTTATAGTCGACTGACCCGCAGAGAGATCTCAACAGAGAGATCTCAACATAGAGAGATTAAACATTAATATAATCCTGTTATCTGGTTCAAACAGGTGTGTATAAAAGCATCGGCTGATAACACTTTCCCCTGCGTGTGTGTGTGTGTGTGTGTGTGTGTGTGTGTGTGTATGATAGAAAGGCTGAAGGTTAAATCCACTGCTAAAGGACAAACACACCAGTCAGAGTGCCACACACACACACACACACACACACACACACACACACACACACACACACACACACACACACACACACACACACACACACACACACACACACACACACACACCACACACACACACACACACACACACACCCACACACACACACACACACACACACACACACACACACACACACACACCACACACACACACACACCACACACACACACACACACACACACACATCACTTCAGGTGACATTACATGACTTACATGCATTTCCTGGAGCCTTATCCTAACCTTAACCATAACCAACACATGCCTAACCCCTACCCTTAACCTTATCCTAACCCTAAACCTAACAAAGTCTTCACCCTAAAATGTATGATTCCCCTTATGGGGACCCATAAGGGAGGCGAGTCCCCACACGTGAGTGTGTAAACAGATTTAGGTCCCCACAAAGTATAGTAATGCTAGGCCACACACACACAAAGAGGTAGAGATCAGGGTGAGATCAAGTAGGACAACTGTCTCTGTCTCAGAGTTAGTCGTCTCATAACTGTAAGAGTTTGTCAGTATATCTGAATGACTAGGTTAGCTACGTTAGCTAGCTAGCTTACAACAGATCTGGACAGTAACATCAGAAGGAGTCATGTGACCACATTGTTAAAATAAGGACCATAAAACATTTCAGTTTCCATCAACAGAGACAGTTGTTCAGCTTTATAATCCTGAACGCTGTTGCGTGTTTGTATGAATGATGTGTTTACTGTCACCTGAGGGACGGATGTAGTCTGAGTGACGTAAAGTCGTCAAACAGCTGTTGTTTTCATATGCAACACTAACGCCGGTGTTTGAGTTAATTAAAACCCCGGGGCTCCTCGTAAAGACGCTAACAGGCTGCAGGAACTCTATTAAGGACTCATGGTTTCCTCATTTCCAACGGCACATGAAACGCACCGCAGAGACAAGCCCCCTACATCCCTGATAATGAATTTTGAGTTTAAACAGAATCAGGTTTATCTCCAGGTCGACACGTATGAGGAAATTGACTTGATGTCGTGGTGCAGACCACGTAAAACAACAATTAAAAACACAGATAGAAAACTATTTTAAGAAAACTGTAATAACATTAGAAAATAATAAAAGATATAGTAAACTATAGCAGTATACAGTTTGCAGTAACACTGTCCCCTGAAGGCACCGTGTTCAGAAAACCAGACGAGAAGACGTTTGATATTCTTAGATCCTGAAACCCTCCTCTTAAAAGGATCCGTTGGTCTGACCTCCATTAGAGCTGAACATTTACACAGAAATCTCCCTCTCTCCATGTTGTCCTATCAGAGACAAAGCTGTTCTGTCTCTTATTCTCTCTCCATGTTGTCCTATCAGAGACAAAGCTGTTCTGTCTCTTATTCTCTCTCCATGTTGTCCTATCAGAGACAAAGCTGTTCTGTCTCTTATTCTCTCCATGTTGTCCTATCAGAGACAAAGCTGTTCTGTCTCTTATTCTCTCCATGTTGTCCTATCAGAGGCAAAGCTGTTCTGTCTCTTATGGCGTGTTTCCACTACACGGTCTCGCTCGGCCCCGCTCGGTATGGCTGGGCCTCGTTAGGACTGGCTCACTTTATGGCGCATTTCCATTACAGTTTAGGAACTGGGGTAGTATCTATAGTAACGCAGTGTAGGCGGAGCCGTGACGTCATCTTCAATGAGAACCCCAGAAAAAACAACACAGCCGTTAGCTGTTAGCACTCAGAGCTCACAGCTCCTCATATATGTTCAGAAACTAGACAAAAGTTAAACAAGTACACACCACAGACTGTCTGTGTCATGGTGAATACAGTCGCTGCTTTATTTATGTCTGTATAGGCCGTTGTTGTGAGTGTGGACGGTCGGAGCATATACTGAGTTAGCTTAGCCAATCTCCATTTAGAAAACACGCATTTTAAAGGTTTTTCGCCTGCCGTCTGTCTGCAGACTTGACAAAGCATTAATTCATGGTTTTTACTAACCGGTATCAGTATGTGTTACTTCGGCATCATTTTGAAACGTGTATTACAATTAAATCACGGTCAAATATGTACCATCTTGTTGTAGTTGTAGCCCCCTTGCCAGCGATGCTCTCTCTAGTTTAGCATACTCAGCCCGACTCAGCCTCGTTGTCTCTGGCCCTAGACCCCGCGATTTTATGAGGCCAGAGAAAACTGTGAATTAGGACCCGCCGGCCGGTACTAGGCCCAAGTGGAAACGCAACCAAAAGACGGGCCGCTGACGTCACAGCCCCTTCTAAACCGTGCTCCGCGCTGTAGTGGAAACGCGCCATATCTCTTCTCCATGTTGTCCTATCAGAGACAAAGCTGTTCTGTCTCTTATTCTCTCTCCATGTTGTCCTATCAGAGGCAAAGCTGTTCTGTCTCTTATTCTCTCCATGTTGTCCTATCAGAGGCAAAGCTGTTCTGTCTCTTATTCTCTCTCCATGTTGTCCTATCAGAGACAAAGCTGTTCTGTCTCTTATTCTCTCTCCATGTTGTCCTATCAGAGACAAAGCTGTTCTGTCTCTTATTCTCTCTCCATGTTGTCCTATCAGAGGCAAAGCTGTTCTGTCTCTTATTCTCTCTCCATGTTGTCCTATCAGAGACAAAGCTGTTCTGTCTCTTATTCTCTCTCCATGTTGTCCTATCAGAGACAAAGCTGTTCTGTCTCTTATTCTCTCTCCATGTTGTCCTATCAGAGACAAAGCTGTTCTGTCTCTTATTCTCTCTCCATGTTGTCTTATCAGAGACAAAGCTGTTCTGTCTCTTATTCTCGCTCCATGTTTTCACTCATAAAGCCTAAACGGGCAGGCTTTGAAGTGTTGACGTACGAGACATTAAGGACGTGTTTGTCTATAAAACGTCAGAGATTTCTGACTTTTAAATATGATTTTAAAGATGAATATGTTGAAGAAAAGCTTCTGATGAATCTCTGGGTTTATGGTCCCTCTCCTCCAGCTGCTTGCTCCAACATACGTGTGTGTGTGTGTGTGTGTGTGTGTGTGTGTGTGTGTGTGTGTGGGTGTGTGTGTGTGTGTGTGTGTGTGGTGTGAGGTTTCTGCTGAGACAGGAAACAGCCTTTAAAGATCTGGATTATAAAACTCTACATGTTGTTGGAGTACAGAAACCTCCAGAGAAAGAGAGCAGGATGAAACACCAGAGAAGAAGAAGAGAGACTCACCGGCAGCAGCAGCAGAAGAAGAAGACGCTCCTCGGTGTTGGCTGCAAACTGAAAGCTGCTCTGAATCAGAAACAGCTGAAGCTCTGAGGTGTGGCTCCAAACAGGAAGTACACATCCACCAGCTTTTTATAAAGGGACTACATTTTTTCTCTTTCCCTGCTTTCTGCTTCCTGTTGCAGTCAGTGGCTGGGCTCCCCCTGCTGGCCGCTCGCTCTCATCACACGCTGAAGATAAAACCTTAATGTGTTTCATTATTAAAGTATTTGTAGTACGTATTGGGGGGGGGGCAGATAAAACAGTTCATTTATCCAGCTACCTTTTTTAGAGGTACTTTCCATTTCATAGTCCATCTATACCCAGAAGAAAACAGGCTTTAAAGAGTCCTCTCCTGCTGATGTTTCAGGTGTTATATTAGTATGTAGTGTATCTACTTTAAAGAGTCCTCTCCTGCTGATGTTCAGGTTGTATATCAGTATGGTAGTGTCTCTACTTTAAAGAGTCCTCTCCTGCTGATGTTCAGGTGTATATCAGTATGTAGTGTCTCTACTTTAAAGAGTCCTCTCCTGCTGATGTTCAGGTGTATATCCAGTATGTAGTGTCTCTACTTTAAAGAGTCCCTCTCCTGCTGTGATGTTCAGGTGTATATTAGTATGATAGTGTCTCCTAAATTAAAGAGTCCTCTCCTGCTGATGTTCAGCAGTGTAGATGTCAGTAAATGTAGTGTCTCTTACTTTTAAAGGAGTCCTCTCCTGCTGATGTTCAGGTATAAAATATCAGTATGGTCGTGTCTCTACTCTTAAAGGAGTTCCTCTCCTGCGGAGGTCAGGTGTATATCAGTAATTGTCGTGTCTCTACTTTAAAGAGTCCCTCTCCTGCTGATGTTCAGGTGTATATCAGTATGGTAGTGTCTCTACTTTAAAGAGTCCGCTCCTGCTGATGTTCAGGTGTAATATCAGTAATGTAGTGATCTCTACTTTAAAGAGTCCCTCTCCCTGCTGATTAGTTCAGGGTGTTATCAGTATGTAGTGTCTCTACTTTAAAGAGTCCTCTCCTGCTGATGTTCAGGTGTATATCAGTATGTAGTGTCTCTACTTTAAAGAGTCCTCTTCCTGCTGATGTTCAGGTGTATATCAGTATGTAGTGTCTCTACTTTAAAGAGTTCCTCTCCTGCTGATGTTCAGGTGTATATCAGTATGTAGTGTCCTCTACATTTTAAAGAAGTCCTCTCCTGCTGATGTTCAGGTGTATATTAGTATGTAGTGTCTCTACTTTAAAGGAGTCTCTCCTGCTGATGTTCAGGTGTATATCAGTATGTCGTGTCTCTACTTTAAAGAGTCCTCTCCTGCTGATGTTCAGGTGTATATCAGTATGTCGTGGTCTCTACTTTAAAGAGTCCTCTCCTGGCTGATGTTCAGGTGTATATCAGTATGTAGTGTCTCTACTTTAAAGAGTCCTCTCCTGCTGATGTTCAGGTGTATATCAGTATGTAGTGTCTCTACTTTAAAGAGTCCTCTCCTGCTGATGTTCAGGTGTATATCAGTATGTAGTGTCTCCACTTTAAAGAGTCCTCTCCTGCTGATGTTCAGGTGTATATCAGTATGTAGTGTCTCTACTTTAAAGAGTCCTCTCCTGCTGATGTTCAGGGTGTATATCAGTATGTAGTGTCTCTACTTTAAAGAGTCCTCTCCTGCTGATGTTCAGGTGTATATCAGTATGTAGTGTCTCTACTTTAAAGAGTCCTCTCCTGCTGATGTTCAGGTGTATATCAGTATGTAGTGTCTCTACTTTAAAGAGTCCTCGCCTGCCGATGTTCAGTGGTATATCAGTATGTAGTGTCTCTACTTTTAAAGAGTCCTCTCCTGCTGATGTTCAGGTGTATATCAGTATGTAGTGTCTCTACTTTAAAGAGTCCTCTCCTGCTGATGTTCAGGTGTATATCAGTATGTAGTGTCTCTACTTTAAAGAGTCCTCTCCTGCCAATGCCATCCTCGCAATCAGAGTGCATGATGATGTCCAGAGCCTCCTGTGTGCTGTAATGCCTTGCCATCTCCAAAAAGACTACTCCTGCACTAATACTAATACTTCTAACCATGGCTGCACCTGCACAAACAACCTGAGCGAGAACCAAAACCAATTTTGTTTTGGTTCTCGCAACTCATTGTTTTATTATTGGATTAGATTATTACGCAGTGTGGCCTTCTAAGAGAAAAGTATTTTGAAGTTGGACCAGTGGCGATTTTATATGTACACAGTGGTGGGGCACGAACAACTCAGATGTAACTTCTGGTGCTTTTTAAACAATAGCTGTAGGCTGTCCATGGTCCCGATAGAGAGAGAGGGGGGGGTATAAGGAAAACACAAGACACTCATCACCGAGGTCACAATATCACTGGATCCAGCAGAGCAATCGCCTATAGGCAAAACACAGAAGATCAACAAGAGATATGACATAACATGAACCAAAGCTGCAGTAGACGGTCAACTTCATTCATTTTCTTTCCGTGTTACTGATTTGAATCGCTATACGCTGCTCTCTCTCGTCTGCTCTTCTCAAACAACTACTATTTTCGCGGCACACGTACTTACAGCCAATCAGCTCTCTGAATTATGAGATGACGTTTGGTGGGTATGTCAGCACAGTGACCCCATGGTGATGATTTTGTTGCCGCACACATTGAATAGAAAAAGACTCTGAGCATGCGCAGTGCAGTTTTTACAGCACCCGTCTTAGACAGTGAGAGAGAGGGGCTTGCCCCACGTCGCTCAACACGGCTCAATAGGCACACTGCAGACACTAATTAGAAGAACAGACTAAAACAGATGATTACACATGATCTTAAAATATATTTTAAATGTTTTTTTTTTGCATTTATTTACTTTCTGCTGACACTAGGTGGGGCTGTGCACACACACACACACACACACACACACACACACCACACACACACACACACACACACACACACACACACACACACACCACACACACACACACACACACCACACACCACACACACACACACACACACACACACACACACATCACACACACACACACACACACACACACACACACACACACGTCTCTGAGATGTGGTTTGTCATCTGGACAAAAGAAGACATTTAAAGAGTCAAAAGTCTTTCACTTGTTCTTGACGTTTTATAGACAAACACGTCCTTAATGTCTCGTACGTCAACACTTCAAAGCCTGCGATAAGAGACAGAACAGCTTGTCTCTGATAGGACAACATGGAGAGAGAATAAGAGACAGAACAGCTTTGTCTCTGCAGACACTAATTAGAAGAACAGACTAAAAGAGCAAAGTACAGACGAATCAGATGATTAAACATGATCTTAAAAATATATTTTAAATGGTTTTTTTTTTGCATTATTTGCTTTTTTTTGGAATGATTATTTAATTACTTTCTGCTGGACACTAGGTGGGGCTGTGCCCACACACACACACACACACGTCATTTCAGCAGCAAGGCACCTTGCAGAAAACAGTAAAAAGTGTGAAATGTTGCTGCAGGCTTCAAAGGGTTAAAATTATCGCCATCTTGTAGACAAATGTAAAAATTGAAAGCTAGAAGTCCAAAATGAAATCTTAACATAAAGGAATTCAAGAGTTTATGATAAGATAAATGTGGGGGTCAAAAAAAAGCATTTTCAATGGTTTTCAAGGGGGCATTTTCTGCCGCTAGGAACAAATGTGTCGGTTTTTGTGTAGTTTAGCCATTTTAGGCTAATTTAAGGAACTGAGCCGACAATTCAAAAAACAACTAAAAAAGAATATCCTCTGGCAAGTTTGAGCTACATTCATTCAACACAGCCAAAATGGCAAGAACATCAGAACCTGAAGGGCTGACAAATGTACCTAGGAGCTCTTGAGGGTTAAATAATCTCTCAGCCAGTCTGATCCCACCCTCTGATGCCACCCTCTGATGCCACCCTCTGATCCCACCCTCTGATGCCATACCTTTCCAGTGTCAGTAACATGTTGTGATCTATGGTGTCACATGCTTTCTGTAGCTCTATGAATGTTCCCATGCAGTTTGCTATCTCCTCTCTTAATCCCATCAGAGCCGTACATGTTGATCTGTCTTTCCTCAATCCATATTGACTGTCGTCCAACAGCTGATGTGTTTTCATGAAACTGTCAAGTCTTTTTGTAAAACCCTTTTCCAGGATGAAACGAGAGCAAAGAAACATGTGATGTGTGTCACGGTGTTTATCCCCAGTTTGATATAATGGTATAACTTTAGCTATTTTCATTTCATTAGGGAATGTACCAGATTGAAAAGACAAGTTACAAAGATGTGTTCATGGTTCTGCAATTCTTCAATAATGTGTTTGACTATAATCATATCAATATGATTCCAATCGGTCGAGGACTTGCTTTTACATGTCCGTACAGTGTCTATGATTTCTCTTCCTTCGACTGCTCTGAGGAAGAACGAGCTATTGTTTTCATTCCAGAGGTCTGTATCTTCCCCTTTAGTTGTTTCTACACTTGTCATTCTTTCTGCCAGATCTGGCCCCACATTTACAAAGAATTGGTTCAAACCATGAACCACATCTTCTGTGTTATTGATAACATTATCTTTGTCAACAAGAAACTCAGGGTAACCTGTACTCTTTGCTCCGTTTCTAACGATACTATTTAATACCTTCCATCAACCCTTCATATTATTCTGATTATTCTCTACTATTTTATTATAGTATTCTTTCTTACATATTCTCATAATATTGGTTCATTTATTCTTATATCTTTTAATATTTATTTTCTGCTTCTGAAGTTCTATATTTGATGAATTGTCTATAAAGTGTATTTTTTCTTTTTGCAGGCATTGTTTAGGCCAGGGGTTTTCAAAGTGTGGGAAGGTGAGCCTCCCCTCAGAGACATAAGAACAGCCGCTCCCCCCCCTCCCAATTATTATTGCTATTATTATTATTATCATTGTTGTTGTTGCTATAATGCAGGGGTATTCAATTGCATTTCAAAGAGGTCCAGTAAGATAAAATGAAGACTGTTTCTCTCCTCTTGTCTCGTCTCTGTGTGTGTGTTTTGAATCTATCGTGCTGGCTC